ATCGTGTAGGATGCTATACCAACTCAAAATTATATGAATTGGTATGTGTTAGTTACAACGACACAGTTTGTGTTTGACCCGATATATTTGATCGACCCACGCCAACGAGCTTCGTCATCATATGTCCAACAACCCACCCAAACCCAAAAAATAACCCCACAACATTACCAAACCTAACAACAATGTCAACCTACCCAAACCCAACAACCAACCTCACAACATAACCATACTAGATACACCCAACAATTAATCGAACATGATTACGAACACACATACGCATAACCTTGCAACCAATTCATGTCACACACCCAAACACAAAATCAAGAGAATGACCCATACCATCAACAGCCATATGTCGCCACCACATCTTACTATAGCTCCGATCAGGCATATGATTCCACCCCATCCGACCATAGCACCCAACCAATATACACTCAAACATCACACCACCAAAGCACCCAAACATCACATCACCAAAGCACCCAACTAAGAGATGCCTTCTAAACACCACAAGAATCATTGCTTTGTTTCCAAAACGATTCAATGTCCTAATTCAACCAACCAGCCCACACACACGTAACCCAACCAACACGGCCTAACTACGACAACATGAGCACCGAACTCGATTATGGCAGCGTCAACTACTAGGGAGATATGATTGAAAATTTGTTAGATATGTCAGTACCCTCGCACCAACCACCTTTGCCTCGGGCAAATACTAGGAGACCCAAACACCTCAGAGAAATCGTGGGAGACCTCGAATGCAAGCGAATGTGTCGGAGTGTAGAACCGGTGGGCGTTACGATCGAGCGAGTCATTAAATTTCTATCTAATCGTTGTGTAATTCTATCGGATGGAATAATATTATAATTTGTTTTTTATTAAACATTTTATTTTAAAAAAATTGTTAAACTAATTTATAAAAAAAAATAAAATAAAATAACACAGTAGCTAGTAACTATGACACATACTCATAAATGATGCATGCATGCGCCACAAACAATGAGATGCATGCGCCACAAACAATGAGATGACATATGAGCATGCATTATAGGCTATGGCGTCTTAGGCCGAATCATACATGGATGCGCCATAGACAATAACTCATTCTCTTGGAGCTGATTTTTTTTGTTTGAAATAGGTTACTTCGATTTTTTTTTCTTCTAGAAAGTGGTTATTTTGAAATTTTTTAAAAAAAATGTGATTACTCTTTAAAAAAAATCTGTGTTTTGTTTGTAATTATTTCCTTTATTTTTATTTTTTGGAGATAAAATTTGTTTTTAGAATGATGTGTCTTCCTACTTGTTTTGCTTGAACATTAGGTTTACAAAGCTGACCCCATTACAACTGAACTGAAAGTTATCACATTTGATTTTTGCTGGTCTCTTACTTGTACTTGGTAGGCATCTTTATGCAACACACCCGCAATTCATTTTGGAATCATGGAGCTGCTTAATTTCTTAAAGTTGTTTTATAAATTTTGGAATGGTTTTGAAGGAGAAAAAAAATGAAATATTTCTTTTATTTATGATTCATAATTTAATGGTGGTGAAGTGATGATTTTTCTTCTTGTCAATAATCTAAGCAATTGGTTTGTCTCACTTTGACAGGTTATTTGTTTCTTTATAGATCACAGAGCAGTTCAATCATAAGTTATCTTTGACGGGAAAGATTCCCTCGTGATTTTTCAATTTAATATTTGAATTTTCTGGGTATTGGCAGAAAGATGCACACCAAGACCCTTGCTTTTGATTGTGTTCTTATGGGGTTGGAAGAAAGAAAATGAATGTGGGGTTGGAAGGAAGAAGATGAATTAGGAAAAATTAGAAAAAAATTGATTCAAACATTACAATATAAATTAATTTATTAAAATATTTTTAAGATTTTATTAAAAAATAAGCCTTATTTAAAGTTAATAGAAAAACACAAATGCTTACTTGACACTACAAGTGGCGGTGTCATGTATTAAATGAAAATGCCATAGGTGTAAAAGTAGATGGAGATCAACAAAATATTAAGGAGAAAAAAATAGGTTTTAAAATAGAGAACTAAAAAGTTAATTAGATATTAAAAATATTTTTCATTTCTTCTTAATTTACATAAAAAAATCAATCTGGATGAAATAATATATTTTTTATTATATAAAAAATATGTTATGGCATGTTCTATTATATTTTGGATAGATTAAAAGATATTGTATAGAATATTCTACATACACATTAACACGATTGATTCTTAATACGTGGTCAAACATAATGACAATGGATAAGTAGCAAAGAACCTTATACCTCTTATCATTAAAAGCTGCCAATAACATGGACAATAACTTCAACACAACAATGGTTCCTTTTGCTTAAGGGCAATTAGTGTTGTGTCATTAAGTGGTATTAATATGTTATGTATTCTATACTATATTATAAGTTTAATATAAACTCCTTTCTAAAATAATTATCACTTCACACATATTTAAAAAAATGTAATAAATAAAAGAAAATAATATTTTATTAAATTATCTTTGTTTATTATTGATGTATTCTAACTGTCGTAAATAAATAATAAATTAAGAGTATTAATTATAAGATATAATTAGAAGATAAACTTTAAAATTACATTAGAAAATAAAATATCACACTTATTTTAAAATAAATAATTTATAAGATGCGACAATTATTTTAAGACAAATGAAGTATTATATAAGAAAATAAGATACACTGAAAAATACATTCATACCCTTTTCTTTTTATCCAGACACTTCATCATTTAGAAAACATTTTCTATGTTATCTTAACTAACTATTACTCCCTCCATTTTTTATTATTAATTTCTTTTATATTTTTTATACCTATTAAGAAATACAATAAATCTTATATGAAAAAGATTAATTACGAAGAGTTTTACAAAATTTACATGGTTTAATTATTTCTAAGAATTTTGAAAAGGTAATCTCAGAAATACCAATTTTTTCTAAGAAAACTTATTCCAAAAAATAATATTTACATTCGTGAAACAAACGCATTCTTTGAGTTAATTTCTTCAATTTTTCTTTTATAAATCTTTCAAAGTGTTTAACATAAATAGAAATTGATAGAAAGCAAATAAAAACACCAACATGATAAGACATGTTTATTCAATGTTGATATTTATCTAATGACATTTCATAATTTATGGTTGTTGGAGGTTAATAGAAATCACAATGTTTGCCTCTTTGTTGAGCAACACTAAGGCCGAAACTAATTCATGCTAACATGTTTGGTCTAATCACTCCATCATCCAACTATCGGAATAGGTTATTTTGAGTTCCAAAGATGACTATTTCAGAAAATATACATCTATTTTTGTTGGAAAAAACAAAAGTATTTTACCGTTTTATATGATTTAAGAACAATGAAGAGAAAGAAACAAATTTACGTATTAAATGTTTGTGTACTACATATAATGAGAGTTTGTCATTAAAAATTCAATATTTTTTGTCAACAAAATTGGAATCAAAAGACAACAGCCACAACTTACGATTTTCAATATTTATGCATGTGTAATTGGATTGAGTTCTTATGTATGATGTGGTAAATGCTTGAAATTATTTTATATAGTAAATTTGTCTCATTAATTTATACATGTTGATCAAGATCAAGATCAAAATCACAATTACAATACTTTAACTCAAAGCAGTTCATTAAAAATTGATCAAAACCACAAGTATTTGAAGAAAAATGAAGGTTATGTTCTCTAATTCCAGTGGACTTTAAAAACTTTGCTGTCTTCATTTCTCTATTTCATACCAAAATGTAAAAATGAATATAAGAAAAACTAATTTCAAATTAACGTGCTACACATGAACGGTTAAATTGACGTCTCTTAGAAATTTATTTTTAACTATTCATGTGTAGCACTAACGTTCTGTTATGTAATAGATTAGGGGAAGCACCAACCTTGACTTTGCTACTTTGATATGTGAAGTGGTTGCAGCTGTTACACAAAATGTGCCCTAATTATGCATTCAAATTAAGATAAGTAATTAAAATAATATGGAATTTCATATATAAAATTGATAAAATTGATAACCTCCTTCAAAATTTTGATGTCATCCAGATCAATAAAACACAAGCTTTAATCATGAAACGATACTGCCTTAACTAAACTATAATCCTTGTGAGTATAACAGAGTTGAATTCGATTACGCACAGTTTTGAACTTGTGCTTCTAATCTTTAGACATGTAGCCTTTATCACGACTTTAAAATTACACATGTTACGACAAAATATTCTGAGAAAATACAAAAAAAAAATGTCACTGTCAGATTAAACCATGGACTAATGACTTACACACATCTAACTCAAATAACACATATCAGTTGAGCTACTCCACCTACACAGATAAAAACCCGAATAGTATTTGTGTCATCATGAAATGGAAGAATGTAACATGAAACCAACATTATTTCTTATCTTATGCTTAAAATAAAACTATAAAATACTAGAAGAATGATTTTGACATCTCTTGTTAGAAATAATGAATGCAGTATTTCATTGTGAATTTCATTCAGTTCAATTGATTAAAAACTGATAATGCTAGCTTATGTATACTGGTGTATACCAGACTATGCTTATTCTACTGCATAACATATTTATACAGCATACATGAGTCATACTAGTTGCCTAACATGCTTATGCAGCATACTTGAACACAATCTTACATGTATTTTGTATGGTATTAACTTGACAGTATATAATCTTTCTAGTAATTCATAGAGACTTTAAGATAAAGGACGAGTTTCTTAACAAAAGTATACCATGCTGCACAACTTCTCTTTCCACAAATGACTTGGAAACTTAGTCAAGCTTTAAGTACTTGTTATGAGTGTCAACACCTGAAACTCAAATCAAGTAGAAACCCACTATTACCTTTGTATTTTGTAGTTTAGCATTTTTGAAATACACAGTAAGATAATAAAAAATCAAATTATAACTCTTGAAAGAAATTAATTACTAGTTATGATTCAACTAAGCATAAAAAGTCTCACCAGTGAAAAAGACGTTTTTGATTATGCTAAGTTCTCTAGTGACATCAACAATATTCATTCTTTCTTTTGGTGATTCCATTGAGCAAGTAAGTCCAATCCTAAAAAGTGAAACTAAGCCCTCCTCTACATTTGGAGCAATATTCTCCTGATTTCCATCTTCTATTTTTACTTCTCCATATCTAGGTACAAGACGTGGGTCCAGAATCTCTAGAAGATTATTAGGAAATGAGATTGCAACAAAGTTATGCAGATTTTGACCATTTTCAAAAGCTTCATCAATGGGTCTTCTACCGGTAAGAACTTCCAACAGAAAGATTCCAAAGCTGTACATGTCACCAGACGTGGACACTTCAGAACCCATTCCATACTCTAAAATATGTATCAAAAAATGTGAGCACTATGTAACTTGTAAAATATTAAATCTAAAACAGCGGTGAATTCAAAGAAACAAAGGAGGATTCAAAAGTTTAGAACATACCTGGAGGAGTATAGCCAACAGTTCCTTTTATTCCAATTGTACTAGTATTCTTATGAGACGTACCACCAATGGCTGAGACAAGTCTTGCTATGCCAAAATCACTCACATGAGCAACCATGTCATCATCAAGAAGGACATTGCTTGGCTTTAAGTCAGAATGAATGACCACTTGCTCACAATCTTGATGAAGATATTGTAATGCAGATGCAACATCGATAATGATGTTTAATCTAAGACCAAGGTTCAATGTTGTTGGATGCTCAGCATTTAAAATCTCGAGATGCAACCATTTTTCTAAGCTTCCATTTTTCATGTAATCAAAAACTAGAGCTTTAAAATCTTGACCTTTATAATCCGTACTAACACAACATGTTAAAATTTTGACTAAATTTCGATGTCTTATGTTTTTGAGTGCATTACATTCAACAATGAAACTCTTGTGAGCTCCTTTCTTTTGGAGGTTCAGCACCTTTACAGCAACAACATTATCTTCTGACACAAGATTTCCTTTATACACAGAACCAAAATTTCCTGATCCGATCAAGTTTTCAGCCGAGAAACCATTAGTTCCTCGATGCAAGTCTTGGTATGAAACCTTCGCTAGCTGATCAATTGTTGGTGAATCAAAAGACCTATTTTGATTTCTTTTCCTCATCCAGTAGATAGTTATAACAAATAAAAGTACGAGAAGAAAAGAAATTGCACTAACTATCACTGCTATCAATTTGAATTTATGATGTTTTGCTTGTTTCCTACCCATGATAGGGCATGGTGGTAGATGCAGTTGTGAAATACCTCCACAAAGATTATTGTTTCCAATAAGTGCTATTTGGCTTGCATTTCCAAAGACACCATCTATTGGTACTTCACCTTCCAGCATATTAAAAGAAACATTCAAATATTCTAAAATTGAGATGTTTTGCATAATATCAGGAATTGATCCACTAAATCGATTTCTTGAAAGGTCTAAATATTTCAGGCCTTTGAGAGAAGCCAAAGTAGACGGTATTGTTCCGTTCAAGGAGTTTCCTTGAAAGAGAAGATATTCTAAGCCTATGCATTCACCAATTGTTGTAGGAATAACACCGGATAAATGATTCTCAGAGAGATCTAGCATATCAATATTTTTTAACATCCTCACTTCTCTTGGTAAGCTACCACTCAAATAGTTATGTGACAAGTCCAGTGAATTTGATAAAGAAGAAAGGTTAAAAACCTCTAAAGGTATGGTTCCTCTAAGCTTATTGTGCGAAAGTTCTAGATATTGTAATTGTTGGCAGTTCCCTATATTTGGAGGAATATTTCCATCAAACATGTTAAGATGTAAATCCAAATAATACAATTGACTAAGATTGCCTATAAAGGGTGGTATATTTCCTAATAGCATGTTTCCATCCAATTGTAATCGTTGCATCTTTTGGAATTTCCCAAAAGTAGTGGGAACCATTCCTTCAAAGTAGTTGAATTGCAAGCCCAAGAGAGTTAAACCAGTTAGATGTCCTAATTCTGCAGGAATTTGTCCTGATATCTTGTTGAACCCAAGATATAGTTCATTGAGTTCAATGGATAAATTTCCTATGGCATTTGGGAGAATGCCGTGAAAATTATTATGGAATATAGAAAACATATACAACTTAGTACAGTTTGCCAAAGAATCTAAGAATTCCATATCATTAGTTGAATTACCACCTAAATGGTTGTATTCCAAATTCAAATATTGCAGATCTTTTAGCCTTTCTAGATTTGGAACTTGTCCGACAAATTGATTTTGACTGATATCAAATTCTACAAAGGAAGATGCATTTATAATTGAAGCTGGAATAGGGCCAAAGAATTGATTCCCTCCTATTAGAAAATGTTCAAGCTTGGAAAGGGTGAGGAACATGTTGGATGGAAGAGAACCATAAATGAAATTCTTTGTTGTTACGAGCGCGGTAAGTGATGACATATTGTAAAGACAAGAAGGAATCATACCAGACAAATTGTTCACAGCGCCAGTTAAAATTGTCAAGTTTTTGAGGGCGCATATGTCTTGTGGAATATCTCCCTCTAAGTTGTTATAGTCAAATACTAAGATGGTTAAGAATGAAAGATTCCCTATGCTTGAAGGGATTCCTCCAGTTAAATTGTTTTTCCAAAAGTTGAACGTTTGAAGCTTTTTCAAAGAGCCGATTTCAATTGGTATTTTGCCAATCAAACTGTTCCCTGCCAAAAACAAGCCATTGAGATTGGAACAATATGTCAAGTTTTTAGGAATTTCACCCGTAAAGGAGTTATCGGCAAGATGAAGTTGTTGCAATTGTAGCAACTGACCCAACTCCTGTGGTATTTCTCCAAAGAAGCTGTTGTTGTTAAGGTTGAGATATATCAGAAAAGAAAGATTGCCAACATGGGGAGACAAGGATCCATGTAACTGATTTCCTGTCAAGTTCAACTTTATAACTCTTTGATGCAAGGGGCTGCATGTGATTCCATACCACTTACAGAAGTGAATGGAAGTATTCCAAGACTCAAGAGATCCATATGGATAACTAGATATTGATTCTTTGAATTTGAGCAATGCCAAATGATCTGTTTGGTTTCCTAATGTCACTGCCACAACTTTGTTTGGACCAAACCACATTAAATTTGAAGTAAACACAAAAAGAAGATGAAGGTACAAAAGTATAGGTGTCAAGAGAGAAAAAGGCTTCATTTGGTGGAACAGTAAGAGGTTTATGCTATATGTTTGACTTTATTTTGATTTGATAATTATATGGTAATAATACATAACAAGCATCCATTTAAATACTGGGGCATGAGTTATTGCTAAATGTGAACTTAACTTATTTTATTAATTTCACAGACCAGATTATATTGAAAAGTCAAGACACTCGATCAAACAAAAACAAAAAATTATTCAGATGATAACATCTGAATCACCTTTTTGTCAATAGATTGGACCTGGTGGATTAAAAAGATACTATTTTGGGATCAATTATTGGATTAAATTACTAAGAGTTTTGCATTTTGTTGACATGATTCCTTAGGTTAACGTGTAATCTAAGAATGGTTACAAATCCGTGCATATAAAACTAGCATGTTGGTATTACCAATCAGAAGTGTTGGCAAGTGAATTACTATTAAAATATTCATTTTAAAAACAAGTTAAATATTTTAAATTTTTTTTTAGAAATAATTATAATTTTTGTTATAATATTTACAAAAGTATGAAATTAACCACTGACCTGAACCTGCCTTGAGACACATTCTTTAACCATTCCATTACCATCTATCAAGTTTTGCATCGTATTTTCCTCATTAGCCATTAATACATAACTTGCAGAACTTCATGGACTAACATCTAATCACTTGGCAGTTGCATGTCATGGATCCTGCAAGCACTAAGCATGGACCCAAAGCTTCAGCTTGGACTTTTGGCGGCATTGCCTGAATTGTATCTAAAGCTAGATCAAGTTGCCCAACTCGGCCAAGAGATCTAATAAACAAGTATAATGTTCTAGACAAGCAGTTATTCCAAAATCTGTTTGCATACTTTTGAAGTACTTTAGTCCATCGTCTATCAAATTTCTGAATGGCTACAAGAAATCAAAAAACTAGTGTAAGCAATGGCATCTGGTTTTATCCCCCCAGAATTTGTCATTTTTTCAAAGAGGCTAATAGCTTCAATCCTCATCCCATGGATGACATAACTATTTATCATAAAGTCTAGAGAGTCAAATCTTTATTTTTGACCCTTTCAAATACTTCTCTTGATTTGTTAGTACTCCCACATTTATAGTACATGTGTATAAGAGACGTTTGAACTCGTTGGTCCAATTCAAATTGGTTTTCAAAAACATCTTGTTCAATCTCTTGTCCAATGCTGAGTGATCCCAACCAAATCAGCACAAGCTGAAAAAATAGTTGCAAGGGTAGCTCCATTGGTTTAATTTCCATTCTTACCATCCTTCTAAAAAGACTCAATGCTTCTCCTGGATGACCTAAACAGGCATATCCTGCAATCCTCAACGCCCATGACAAAAACACTCTTTCCTATTTTTGGATCAAATGTCCTTCTAGTAATGTAAGGTTACCACAGTTTGCATACATAATTATAAGCAAGTTTCCAATGGAATCCTCTTCATCACACCCACAAACGAATACAGCAGAGTGAACTGATGAAGCTAACAAAAGCTCTTAGGATCGTAGGCAAACATAAATAAATTCAGAAACACAACAAAGTCGATGCCAATGTTTTGATGCTCCATTTGATCAAATAACTTACACTTCCACAATACTGCCAACCTTCATATAACCCCCATGATAGCTAAGGGACTTTTCATCGAAAAAGTCAAAAACTTTCCTTGCTTCATGCATTTATCCAAACTGAGCAAACCTGTCAATGAGTTATCCAGAGAAACTTCAAAGTACACAAAGTTAAGTTTCACACAAAACAATGTATTGACATACCCTGCCAAAGAAACTCAAAAATTCAAATTGCAAGAATAGCCCAATAAAATTGAAACAAATGTGACAAACTCGGTTCAAAACCAAGAACCAACATCTCTTGTAAGAGGTTCAATGTCTTGTTCATCAAAGACTCGTGACAGTAAGCGGAAAAAACGACATTCCACGAGACAACACTTCTTTGTGGCATTTCATCAAACATCTTTCATGCAGATTCAATAATGGAACACTTTGAATACAAATCAAAATCAACAAGTGCAGTTCGAACAAATGTATCAGCTGGGAAGCCAAGTTTAAGGACATGATGAGCATGAAGCATTGTACCGTGTTGAATGGAAAGGAGGTTGGTATTCGAATTGAGGATTAAAGGGTAGATGAAGGTGTTGGCCATGGACACCATTGTGATTCATAAACGAATAAATTTTTCGTGTTTATGTGAAGAACCCATTATTGGTAGAGTCTCAAATCATCAATTTTCATATGTAAGAGGGCCTTCGGAATTGGAAGTAGGCAAAAGTTAAGAGAATTTAATCTATCACCCCATTTCGTTCCTGGCACCCCTCGTATTTTCGGTATGCATTGTGTAAATTTTGAAAAATTTTGTATTTATCCTGGAAATTTTAGAAAATTTGGTATATATTATCGGAAGTTTGTAAAAATTTAATATTTTATATCAGAAATTTAAAAATATCTCGTGAATATCATAAATATTTTGACATCAATATCGAAAATATTAAAAAATTTTGGTAATAGCAAAAATTTCCGATACGCCTATAATTGAAATTTTCGGTAACAGAGCTGGAAGTTCAAATATGTTTGCTTTGTGCGGTCCGGAACTGACAGAGTCATCTACGGATTTGTGTAGCGATTGCACACAGTTATTCACCACAGACAAAGTGTGTTTTCTATTTAATAAGTTAGAATTTAATATTTTTGTTGTGTTATATGATATTAATATTATATTTTTTATGTAATGTAAACGAGAATATTTGAGAGTCGGGCTGAAGTATTAGTTGGACACAACATATTGGCAAGCATTATGGTATTATAATTGTGATTGTTCGTTTTGATATTGCAAATGGTCAGCAGGGTTGGAAGGATAAATTAATTATGGGTTGTGAGAGAGGAGGAAATTATAAAAGGAAAAATACATTTGAATGTAGTAAATCTTCAGATGACATTTATAGTATGAAAGTGAAATGTCCTTTTAGGCTGAGATCTTCGCCAAGTGGTATTGGTTGGAAGGTGATGGTTAGGTGTGAGTTTTACAATCATAAACTATCTGAGAATTTAGATGGTCATGACATATTGAGTCGTCTAAAAGATCATGAGAGACAGTTTGTGAATGGCATGACGAAGTACAACATGGCTCCACGATACATAGTTTCTGTCTTGAAAGACAAAGATCCAGAAAACCTACCAATGTTAACTAAGTGTATAAAGCTAGAGCTATGTACAATGCAAGCAAGAGAAGTTCATTGACGAAAATGCAAATGTTGTTAACTCTTATTCATAAAGAAAAGTACATGTGTTGGACAAGAAATAGGGAAGACTCAAATATTATTGTTGATATCTTCTGGATACATCCTGATTCATTGAAGTTGTTGAATGTGTTTCACTTGGTGTTGATTTTTTATTGTACATACAATACCAATAGGTAATGTGCATCTTGATCATACCTTGATACCATTTTGACATACTTTGATTTATCATATTTTTGATTATTTGAATCATGAACATACAGGTACCGATTACCCCTGCTTAAGATTGTTGGCGTAACGTCAATAAAGTTGACGTTTTCTTTAGGGTTTTCCTATTTGAAACATGAAAGGGAGAAGAACTTCACATGGACACTTGAGAAGCTCAAAGAGTTGTTCTCTTCCGAGAAATTTCTATCCATTGTTGTTGTGACGAACCGAGAACTTGCATTGATGAATGCAATTGAAGCACTAAGCATGCAACACAAATACATGTTAATAAAATGCAGATGAAAATGCAAATGCAAATGCAAACAAGGGATCAAGACTGTCGTGTCGTTGGTCGAGAAGAACCAGCGCTCCGCCTTAGCAAGAACAAAGTACCGATAATAGGACCCACTGATACATAGATTCACACTGTAAAGAAACGGGGTATTCTGAAAGCCAAGTTTTCCTGCACAACCCAATCTCTCTCACAGGTATGGACCTATCCACTGATAAGGTTCGGCATCCTATGCGTTTGTCAGCGTCACAGACTTTCAAGAAATGATGATACGTTCACCATTTCTGGTTTAGCATCATAATCCCTTGAAGAGGCCTCACTTAGCTGACTCACAAATGATCGGTCCCCAGAGTCGACAACCCTCAGATCCAAAATTCCTTCGAGCCCAAAGGGCCAGAAAGAAAATCGTCAAAGAGAATCTCGCCCGAACGTGAATTTCATGGTGAACTAGTACGAGCAAAGCAAGCACATCCACCACTACTTTCCACTACTAAAGCTAGGTGTATACTCAAGCCTGAGTCTGGCTTATCACTCAACGGAACTTCCCTCCCCACAACACAGCAACAATGATATATGATGCGGGAAATAAATACGGGAAAATAAAGTGCGGAAATAAATAAAGCACATATATACAACACCCAAAGACAAACAAACAAGCGCTAGGATTGACTCGCATAGGGAACCTTTGTCCCCAGCAGAGTCGCCAGCTGTCGCAACTGCGAAAAACAATCGGCAGAAAAACAGAAGAGTCGCCACCTTTCGTTATTTATCCCAAAGAGAGGGAAAGGAAACGATCGGAAAAACCTGACGAAAAAGGGAAAGACAATGTCATCGCAACCATGTCTGGATTTGGGAGTCGGTTACGCTAGGGGAAGGTATTAGCACCCCTCACGTCCGTCGTACTCGACGGGATCCACGCTTGTGTTGTCTATCTAAAAGAGTGATCAATCTATCTACGCTAAAGGTCAAGGGACAAAAGAAAAAGAAAAGAGAAGTGACTCGGCAAAGCATCGTCGCTTTGTGCCTACGTACTCCCTCGTGCAATGGGAAAGTCAGAGTCAACGTAGTTCGACTAACTACGGATGAAAGGGAAAAGGTTGCTTGCCAAGACATCGCGTCTTGTGCCTACGTACTTTCATCTGGTATGAAAGATCAGAGCAAACGTAGTTCGGGCTAACAAAAACCACAGGCTGGTTCAAAAGTTTTTTAGGCCCGAGTAGGGTTAACAATCAGTTCTAACAGTTGGTGTATGCAGCTCGACCATTG